ACTTATTAAATAAAAATAGCCTCAAAATTTTATATATAAAACAAATATTCTTGATCATTTACCTTTCTCTCTGAAACTTCACTCTCATTTGACATTATCTTCTGTGGAACTGTGACATGCAAGAATATTCCTTCAGAATCTGCAGCAAGAAAATGTTTCTGTTTTTGTGTTTTTGCATCAACAATCCTCTCAGTCAAGAATGAGTTCTTATCCTGAAGCCCATGGCGGGGTCTAAACTTTTATTTTTTTACTTTAATTTTTTGTATGTGTTCACACTCCTTCTTGTCCACAGGTTTCACGACATTATCAATGACACATTGCAAATGGCCAAGACACAAACAAACAAAAATTAGACATTTCAGGTCTACAGGCCTATCTAGATCCTTTTTAGAATCCCCCAGGGCTTGTTTTCCTCAGGACTCTGGGGAATAAAATGAGGGTGTTGCACCCCCCACCCACATCCTCCGTCACACTGCGGAAGGCCCCTGAGGAGCGGTAGCGTATGGGCTGCTGAGACCCCGGGCTCTAGTGCAGAGCACAGACGCCTCCTCCTCTCTTGTCCGTGGTGCACATGGCCTGGTCTGGGAAGCGGTGACGAGGGTGATGGGGGAGGCACCAGCAAGGGACCCTGGAACGGAGTGGTGTGAGGTCTCAGAGCTAGAGGGAATTGCTCCCCAGAAGAGCCCAGCCTTCTCTGAAGCAAAAGGAGACGGAATGGGAGGCTACCGTGGACTGACCGGGGTGGACCTGCAGCCTTGCAAGCTCAGCGAGCAGAACAAGCAGGAGGAACATGGCTCGGCCAACAGCAAAGGCGGCCAAGGCTGAAGACGGTTGGTCATCGCCAAGGCGCGCGGGCAGGCCCTCGCCTGCCAGGTCGCTCCAGCGCTGGGCTCCGTGGAGGGAAAGCACAGGGCCCCAGCGCCCGGGGGTGAAGCACCCGACCTCTGGTAGCTGGGCGACTTCCACACGAGACACGAGCATACAAGTTTGCACAAACTGGTTTGTTGAGGAGAAGTTTAAATTGTTTAAACCCCTCAGTAGTGATAACAGCAGTAAAAAAGCTCCGTTTGCCTTTCTAGTGAGGGTCTTGGTAATTTTTTCTCCACATTTTCATGGCAGGTTTTAGTTACTGTGGTGGAAGTCAAAGAGGAAAACAGAAATGACAAGTATTATTACTAGCAATTTCCTACATACTACTGCTGCCTTAATGATTTATTAACTTTGCCAATAAGGAAAAAATCAAGAAAATGGCACTTTTTTAAATGTCAATACCATGTCAGCATTATTCACAATAGCCAAGATAAGGAAACAACTGAAGTGGCCATCAAGGGATGAATAAAGAAATAAAATATGGTATATTTTAGGTTATTAAGTATGGAATGTCCAATGTCCTTAAGTACAAAGTTTGACAGTTGATATCTCTGAATCTCTGACATTTCACTTTGACATTTCTTTTTTTATTGTAAAGATACATCCGCATTCTTTCAAACACCTATTTGGCTTCTGATTATCTTTCAAAAAAAATTTTAGAGCAATTTTTGTGAAACCATGGGTAAGTCAAAAATTCATGTTATTTTTGAATATGAGTTCCATTGTGGAACCAACACAGCACAGACAGCTCAAAATATCAACAAAATGTTTGGGAAGGATGTGGCTAATGAACACGCAGTACGTCGATGGTTTGGAAAGTTTCATTCTGGTGATTTTAATCTTGAAAATGAGTCGTGTGGGTGACCTGAGACCAAGGTGGACAATGATGAGCTGAAACGGGTAGTGGAAGCGAATCCATCTCAACCTATACGTGAATTAGCAGCAAGGGTTGATGTTACTATGCCAACAATACTGGACTATTTGGAACAAATGGGAAAGGTAAAGAAGCTAGATAGATGGGTTATGCATGAATTAAATGAGCACCAGAAAAGAAATCATTTTGAAGCTTGCCTTTCTTTGCTGTCATGACATAAAGGTGAACAATTTCTACACCATATTAATATTGTTATGTCTGATGAAAAATAGATTCTTTTTGACAGGTGCAGGCATTTGGCAC